AAACTTTTTTCCAAAGTTTGTCCGGTGAATAAAAATACCACCATTCGATGCAGAATTAAATTCTGAATCAAAGGGACTAGGTTTTATGGACCGAACAAACTCTGGAAAAAAGTTTTTAGCTTACACACAGTTTCTTCGTGCTAGCTCCTTCGTGCTAGCTTCACACTGATCTTCTTTCCTCGCTTTCCTATGAAATGCATCTGTTCATTTATCTTCATAATGTGTCTATCCTATAACACGTTTCTCTTGTGGCGTCTCTCGCTTTCCTCCTCTCTCTCATCGTGCTCGACGAATAAGTCGAAGGAAAGAGAGATGAGTAGTTCCCTTTTCTGAAAGAAAGGGTTACAGCCGCGTTGAAAATCGTTAAAAGTTTGTTCGTCCAAGCCAATCAGAAATGAGGAGTTCGTAAATCATCGAAATTTACCCCTATCAACTATGACCGACTACTAGATAGGTAATCGGGGTTGAGGATCTCGAATGCAGTGTTAGTTTTCCAAAATGCGAATTCGATAATTAGTTAATTACTTCAGTAACTAATTATAAGTTCTTAGTGGCGAGCAAGGGTCGATCGAAGGATAATCGGAGTAGAAGATATCGAATCTGGTGTTAGATTTTCAGTAGAAAAATGCTGTTCTTTTTTTCAGGCAACGAAGTTTTTTAGGCGATAGTGTTTGAAGCAGCAATATGTAGAACTGAAACGAAATAGCTGATTAACGTCCGATTGTTGGATATTCATACTCATCAGCATATTAATAAAATTACACTTATACAAACAGTTTTATTACACAAACATTATCTGATGCTAACCACTCAAAATAATACTTCCTCTGACAAATGTTGTTTTGGACAGTCACAATGGCACAAAGCTGGTGATTCTTCAGCAGGGAGTGGAAGGAAATGGTTTGATTCATTCTGAAGGACATTGTAAACTAGATGAGAGAATGAAAGTCGGACATGTAACGGCTAGTCGTGAGTGGCCGACCGGAGGCAGCTCGACGAACGACTAGGCGTTTGTTTTAGTGGTTCAGAAAAGATAAAATAAGTGTAAATAAATTTTTTTTAATTTTAAATAGTGGGAAGAGAGTGGATTAATAAATGTTTAGAAACAGTGTTCCTTTTGCTGACATCTTTGGATAAATGAATTGAAAGTAGTTTGACATGAATAAAGTAGAAAAGGATTGAAAGAAAAGAATGTGCATAAAAGTGACTTTAATTCGAAGCGGATTAGAGTGAGATAGAAGTTGGAGTTTTTATCGAAAAATCTTGCAATTCTCTCAGAAAAGGATCAGCGAATCCAACAGATGAGCGCAACTTGTATATAAGGAGGACCTGGTTGAAATGAAGCCAGTTCATAACCTTAAACAAAGTTTGTTGCTACAGGCGTATTTCATTGGAAGGGGGAGGACTTAGAAGGAATGGGTTAGAAAGCTGATCGCTATTTCTGGCGGCTCCGAAGGCCGGAACGTTTGTCCTGGAATATGTGTAGAATTCTACGTTTCCACTTCATTGAGTGCATTGCTAATGAATTGAAATTAAATGTACGAAAATGATTCAAATCGCTCAATATCAGTCACTATGTTGTGTTTGCAATACTTTTCAGATTTTTAAGTGCTAAATGAAGAAATATTCTAAACGCAACTCTCAGTATAAAAGTCATGCTGTTTAGACACTAATGCACTGTCTACGTGGTAGGAAATTTCGTTTGAACAGTTAGTCGGTTATTAAACTTCGTTTTACTCTTAATGATCCAGTCTACTCTCTTGAAAAAAGTTCGGAAAAATACAAAACTCTTTTTCTCGCACCGTATTTAGTAGTCCCTAAAATTGCATTGAAACTAGTTGCAAACAGAAAAGCCTTGATTTTCAAAGGCAAAGATCATTGTTGAATATTTTGTAGTACTGAAAAAAAGATAGTGTCTTTTTCAATCAATCAATAGTCATCCAACAAGGTAATTAGTTTTACATGATCATTTAAATTATCAGAAACACAGAAAATTTTCTACAAAAACAGAGATGATTGTAGTCTTTTTAGATAGCTTACAAGAAGAAAAAGACAGTAATCATTTGTACTATGTTCGTCGTCTTCTGCAAATTCGAAAAAAACGATTCTTTGAAAGTTTTTCGGTACGAATTCGACGGAAGGACAAATACGATAAAGATAAGCATCGACGGGGTGAATGAAATAAAACATCCGCCAACATATAGCCACACATGACTAGATACATCTACGCAACCAGATAACAAAGAGATAACTAGACGTGGTGCTGATAGAAAAAGTAAATTTGTCGGACTGATGACGAGTTGTGTATGTTCATTCCATTGTTCACGAATATGTTGCCCATAAGTCTGTCGCTTATGAATTTCTGCTCGTCGTCATGCACTTCCAATAATAATGAACATTGCAGAGGAAAGATTTGCAATGAATGGGCCGAGTAGATGAACGAAGAGAATAGCTATGTTATAATCCTGAACTGATTGCGGATGAGTAGTTACACACCATGTATAACTGACTATCACGGTTTCTTCTGTAGGATTTTTCCTTTATTTCATGCACGAATATTCCGCGGTAGAGTAGCTCATGAATGATCGTGCACATAATCACAATCGGTAAGATGAAGATGATCCATTGAGCAAAACGTTTGCGCTTCTCTTTATCGAAACTAATTCCTCTGTAAATACTCATCGCACGTTCAATTGCTACACATGCGCACAGCCAGGCGTCCCAGTAAAAGAAAAATTTGAGAAGAGACTCAATCCACTTGCAACCACCTGCGAGAACATACTGGAGAATAGATGTATTCATCTGTGTGACGACAACAAACCAAAACTTGATCGTAAACATTGTAATTGTTAACAGAGAAGTCACTGACGATGCAAAAAGATACAATCCACATCCAACTTGTTGCGAAATTGCATCGTGAAAATTTAAAATCGAACAAACGCTGCTGATGACACCCGCAAGAAACATAATTATACGGTCAAAGCGCCACTGATTTTGATCAGAAGTGGTTGATAGTGTATGCCCGCATTTCGATTGACTTCCAAACGTAAAATATCGTCGAGAGTGAGACCAATACTTTTCACTTGAACATTGCACGGACCATCGACATAAAAAGAAGTAGAATTATGTTAACTAAGCAAATTGATGAAAGGAAAACAATCAAAGAGTACTCTATTTAAAGAAAGAACAAAACATGTGTACGTTCTGTCTTCGTAGGTAGTTACTTACTAAAGCGTTGTAAAGTAACATTTGACGGCAAGTAATGTGTATATGATGTCTGACCGAAGATAAACGGTATGTTTTATTTCGCCACCATTGGAACATATATGTTCATCGATTGAAATTAAATTTTTCTTTGGATTCAGCGGATCGAAATGATTTTCGTAGATGTAAATGTTTATATCCGAGCTCTGCATAATGGAAAAATCATAGTATGTATCGGCGAATACAGTTAATTCTATGGTTTCGTAGTAATAATTTACACGAGTACACTCTTTGTCATACTTTTGATTATCTGTTGTTAGTTCTGATGAATACGTCGAGTAAATGACTGGTGAGGCATCTATTCAGAAACAATGTTAGGTTTGGTTTTTCAGTACTCGTGAAGATTACGTGGAGTACTCACCCGTGCGTTGAAAATAGACATGACTTTTGCCAAAAATTTTGAACGAGAAATCCCACATTTGGTCCAGCATACATACGGTCACAACAAATACGTAGCGAATATCGCTAAGAAGCTCAAGAGTAATTGTACGCGATTCATAACGTTCACAAGTATCTTTTCGTTTCAGTAAATATCCAAATGGAATAAGTGCATAAAAATCATGCTCATAGATATAAAGTTTCATACCCATCTCCGTAATTTCATCTATCATAATAGTGTAGAAGCCACTTTCGATGACATTTACATGTATTGCTTCATAATATTCTCTGGGAACTGCTTCACAATCAATAGGAGAATATTTTTTGCTGTCGTGTGTCAGTGAGGAAGTATATGTTGATTCAATGAATTGTTCAATATCTAATCAACACAAAGAGTATTGTGAACATACATACTCTAAGTCATGTTTTCAATCTATTTAGTGTTAAAAATGACTGTTCAACGTGTCTGAATTTTAGGAATAAATACAAAACGCAAAAGAAGCACATAGCTTGATTCGCATTTTTGTAACAAAATTTATAGAATGATCAAGTAACACTTTATTTCTTAGTTGCACGCTTCATCAAATACAGTATGTTACTTACCGATGTGTTTCAGCTGAACTGTAGGTGATCCGAATACTGTGATTGAGAACGGACCTGTTACAAATGGATTGTATGTTGTTACAACCAATATGTACTTCGCATAAGCATGAAGTTCAAGTGTAAATTCGAATTGATCGTTACTGTAGCGTTCGCCATTCCATGCGATCAGATCGCGACTTGTAGGATCAAATGAGTGAAAACGATCTTTGTAGACATAGCCGTATAGCCCGATACTGCTGACACTAGTGATGATGTAAAAACCATTTTGACTTACAAACATTTCAATGACTTCGTAGAAAAAAGCGGAGGGATAAAATGGAGCGCGTGCAAATCTCTCATGATCTTCTGTTAATGTTGATGAAAAGGTTGCTTGAATCGTTGTTGGGACATCGACTAAATAGAAACAAAATGGTTTGTACTTGAATCATGAATAGCAACAATTTTGTCACAGTTATTATCGTTGTTACAGAGCTTTTCCTAAGATTACTCAAAATATTAGTCGAACAATAAACTTACAATCCATGAATTCTACTTTTAATTTAGAAAATGATTTCAACTCTTCAATGGTAGTTAAAGTAAAAGAAATGTGTGTTGAAAATACTATTCCAATTGGAATATCGGATTCTTACCACAAGAATCTTCGAGCAAATCGAATTTTTGGATTCGGCTATTTCCTTTATCAACAACAAACAGGTTCCCATAGATATCAAAGCGGAGTCTCTGTGGTGATTTCAATTGATGAGATCGTGTGCCGCCTCCATCACACCCAACTAAACATCGAAAACCATTGGGTCCAGACGCAACGATACGATTGTTTCCGTCATCGGAGATGAAAAGATAATTGTAAGCGTCTAATATAATTGAGTGTGGTTGAGAGAGTCCAATTGTAATATCTGATGAGCTTTGTCCTGCAACTGTTTCTCCAACAGTTTCATCTAACCGAAAAAGCTGAATCCGATCATTCATAGAATCCGCGACATACAGATCGCTATCAGTATCAACAAAGATCCCTTCGGGGTCATCTAGTTCAATATCACTGGAACCGTCACGGCCTGTACCAGTTACAACTACCATTTCCATCTCATCGTCGAGCGGTGTCTTCCAAACTATATCTTCCAAAACTGACGCACAATATAAATAACCGTTAGAAGTAACGAAAAGACTAGCGCATTGTGTTTTAACTTCCATGATATTACCAGAATTATTCGCACTTGACACCCATTTGAGGATTTTATTCTCAGATATATCAACACCAACATAAACTTCACCAATGTTTGAAACAAATATCGATGGAGACGCCGACCACCTTGTTCTCAGAATCTTCGTAGCATGGATACTATTCGGATTCCAAATTAAAATTTGATGTTTTTCAGAAGGAGCGACATAGATTGTATTGTTTCTATCGATAAATATGTCGGCACCCTTCGTTCCAAGTAAATCGCTATTGACAAAAGTGGTTGCAGTTTGGCTCCATTTGACTGTTGAACACAGTGCCGGTTGATTGGACGAAAGAGCTACACAACAAAAACAAGTGATCTGATGAGAAATTTCATAAGTTTCTCTAAACAGCCGTCGAGTGACAGGCACTCTCGAATTGAAATGGTTACCTGATATTCTTTCATTGAAGACAATCAGTAAAAAGATCGTGAGCACAAAAAAACGACGATTTAATAACATATCAAATGAGCTTAGAACATTAAAACCGTCTTCTGTTCGTGCTCTCTCCAGTATCTATGTCTCTCTTGCTTTTCATGATTAATACAAGTAAATACCTCTTTTTATCACGATTCACTTTGATGACGTTATTTCTTTTCTCCTCGCATTCACGATAACTCTATAATCAACATCGATTCATCATTCATTCATGACAACGCTATTGAAGATGACTGAGCGTAAGCATAACAGAAATGATTAAAACTTTTCACACATTCAAGAAAATACTCCATCCGTCGATCTTGAAAATTCATAGAATAATTCAATTGTCTTTCTTTTTATCGTAGCTATATTATGAGATATAGGCAAATGTCAATTCCAAAATAAGAATCATTTCTTTAATGTATGTATGTGAAACACAATAGAATACGTAACTTAGAACGACTTCAATCTAGTTATTTTGTTCCTTTCTTTTCATTTTATAGGAAAGAATGAATATGTTATATTCATTAAAACATACAGAGGAAATTTAAACAAAATATATACATTTCATTATCTTTTCATCAACTCTTGTAAAGTCCTTATTAGTATTGGAGCATAATGAATCCAAGTCTTGTATCTAAATGTGAAGAAGACGAAAAGGTTCGGTTACTTATTTAGAATATTTGGATTTATGATGAACAGATAACGATCAACTAAGAGATGAGCATTGAGAAACAAGAGAGTTGTATTTAGACTGTAGTTGAAAGGAATCCAGAACTTGCAGAAACGCCAACAAGATCAAACAAACAAGTCGATTGAAAGCGACTTTGATGTATGATGATGTTGTTGAATCGATGACTGCTGACTCGTTCATTTGGATCAGATAAATCAAACTGATCATTGCAATATGGCATTAACTACCTAAGAAAAGGGGATTGTAACTTCGGTCTTCGTTCTTATGTATGAAATATATGTTTTCTAACGCGTTTCGAAGCTCAAGAACTAAGAAGCTAGTAGTTATCAACGGAAAACTTAATTGATTGTGCATATAATTTATTCCGATGAATCTGTGAGGATTTACATGAAAACGAAACTCATTGAATTGGGACAACTGAGTGATTGGTTAGAGAAAGGACACGAGTTCATTCTGGATGTCGCCGATCTGTCTGCATTCTCTGCCGTTTTTAATGATTTACATATTATATTTAGCTTTCGATTGAAAGCATTCATATCTCGTCGAGATATTCAATAATATGATTCAAAAGGATTTTAAATTATCTATTTGATTTCGTTCGCATGATAAATTCTGAAGCCTAATGAACTGTTCACGGACGCGTTTCTGCATATCTGAGACAATGCATTCTAGTTTTTCGGAAAAAATGTTTGTAAAACTGGATTTTTCTCTGCATGGCATCTAACTCTTTATGATCTCATTCCGCTGAGGACAGTTGCAGTTCCGGTCAATGGATGAGAATAATTATGTATAAAAATCGATTGGAGTGACTGCAAACGCGCCCTCCATGTGACAGCCAGTGATCCGTGCACGTTGGATAAGAAGAAAAATAAAAGAAAAGAAAAAATCAAAATATCTGCATGCATCAGCAGTTTTCATCGACGAATGTGTAGAACAGGTAGATAAAGAACGAAAAATATGAAATAAACAAGCAGCAAACGTGCGCACATTTGGAGCGTAAAATATATGATTGTTTAATAGAAGTGAGTCTTTTAAAGTAAAACTTGACGTGTAAATTGGTTGACATTGATGTCTAGTGCAGTTTCGAATTATTTAAGGTTAAAATTTAATATACTGAGCGATTGGGAATGTTTTGCAGATGGAAAAACGTGACAGATTTTTCGAAAAGAATGATAAACAATCGCTTTTTCCTGTCCGAGTTGAGTGTAGTCGCAATTTTATGATAAATCGAGCATTTTCTCAAAAAGTCACCTTATGCTTATAGTCAACGTAAAAATTTCCCCTTCGGACGCTACTTATTACGATTTTCTGTCGTTTAAGAGCTCCGATCAAATCCATCAACACATACTTGCATGTCTTTATACTCTCTAGGTGTTCAATGACTTCAAATTATGAACGATTTGAATCCGATTCTGTTCCAGAAAAACAATTACCCTCCCAAGACAAAGTTTCCACATGGAACACGTTCAAACACCACATTCCTCGTATTCTGATTACGGCTTTCATCGATATGTTTGTGCCACTTATAATTTATTTTCTTCTTGAAAATCGCATTCCATCCGTGTACGCTCTTTTACTCGCTGGTGCTCCGCCTTTCCTCATGGTTACATACAAAGCTATCCAGGAACGTTCGTTTGATGCAATCGGCTTTCTTGTCTGTGCTGCTTTTTTACTAGCAGCTGTGTCCGCCGTATTACTCGATGATCCTTACATACTCTTATTTGAAAAGTCATTTCTCACTGGCATAGGAGTAGTAGCATTTTCCATCACATTGATTCCATTTCGATGTCGCTATTCCAGTAAATATCAATGGCGACCATTAGTGTATTATTTCTATCATGATTTGATACCAATAAATCGAACAGAATTCGGATTACCCGATAGTGTGTTTGATGACGACCAATACACAGAGCGTACGGAACTCAGAAATGAAATGACAAGCAAAGGAATATCTCGTGCACGAGAAGCACGTTTAGTTTATGCATGGCTGTACGAGCATTGCTCATCGTTCCGTATTTCATGTTATTTCATGACAACCGTCTGGGCAGTGGCCTTTTTGAGCGACTTTATCATCCGACTTTCTCTCTATGTTGCAAACACATCAATAAACACGATGTACGTATGGGGGCAAATTACATTCTGTATCGCTTGTGCTCTATGCGCTGTTCTACAGATACTGACGATGACCATTGAACGGAAATATACATTAGCGTACATTGAGCGATGGAAAATTGAACATCTGAATGCTCAGCAATCGCCGTCAACCAGGTAACAAGATCATTATCGGAAAAAAATGTTTTTTTTTATACATTGAAATATCTACAATAAATCAGTATGAGCTGTTGCTTCACTTACGCAGTTGCCAATGTAGAATCCTTTAGTTTTTAGCATATCATGCGACAGTAACGACCACCATACACCAGTAATTCTTCGTAAGTATCTTGCTTAACAGTCGTTCCGTCGTATACAATGCAGCATCATATCTATTTTTTGAATTTTTGGTAAACGATGAGCGATTGTAACGGATGTTCGACTCTGTTGAGCACAATCAAGCGCTTCTTGAACCAATCTTTTGTTTTTCAGTGTCCACAACGCTTGTGACTAAAAGGAAGTTAATCGTACAGATAGTATCAGTTGCGCATTTGTGAGCCTACCTATATCAAGAAGTAACACTTTCGGATTTCGCGTCAATGCTCTTGCGATGGTTAGACACGAAGTACATCAACTGTCAAAAAAGAGTTTACCTCTCATCTATCTCACCAATTCATTGTTTTTGACGGCCGAATATCTGAGTACTCTTTGGGTTGCACATATTGTCTCGTATACCTTCAAGTCAGAAGAAACAAAGCGGCAACGTACATGAGGAAGACTTTGAATAAAATCATGAATATTCGCGTTCTTAGCTGCTTGGATGATTTCATTCAGTGGAATACCTGTTCAATTGTTAATCCCATAAGCAATATTTTCACGAATTGTCCTGTCAAATAAAATAGGTTCTTGCGCTAGTTGAACGTTTACCACTTGCCACGGTCATTTTTGTCCGGATTATAACAAATACTGGCTCTACTGCCCCATTGAGCAAAGCTGCAACACATCCCTTACCTTCATCAAGGAGTAAAATTGTCGAATCCCGAATGAGTACTCGAGCGATAGCTAACTATAAAGCAAATTGATAGACAATATCGTATCTCGCTTCACTGATCAGTTCTGTGTTTCTGTCCACTAGACAGTGGAGTTTCATACTTCTGCATAGAACTTAGATCCAGTGAGTCAAACAGGCGAGAAGTTTTCGAAAACTTACATCAAGCAAAGTCATGATAAAATCATGTGCATTTGCCATTTTCGCTGTTTGTATTCTTTCTTCTTCAGTCACTGAACGCGTCCCAACAAAATATTTTGTCGAATAGTTGTATGCAACAAAACCGGTTCCTGACTAACAACACCGATATGTTTTCGAAGCCATTTCAAATTGTATTCAGTGATGTCCTTGTCATCGATTAGTATGGAACCTGAGTTTAGATCATAAATCTTTGTAATGATTGCACACATGTGGATTTTTCTGAGCCCGAGCAGGCCGCGAGAGTAACGGTTCGACAAGGTGAACTTCAAATAATAGATTTGAGAGAGGTGGAACGTTTCGTAGTTATGGATAAGCACAATTGACATCAGAAAAATGTATATGACCAATAAAATCAGCGCTTGTTTCGCTTATAATCATTGAATCTGTAATGATCGTCGATGGTTGCAAAAGATGTACTTTAATGTTTGTGGATTAATCTTTTCGGGACGGGGTTCTTTTTTAACAGACCAAATAACGAAACACGATACTAATCAAAGTCGCTAGATTTTCATTTTTAGTTCATTATTTTCATCTGTCGAGAGACTAATACGGCACATAAGCTCATTAGTGGTATCGAAGGCTAGAGGAATATCAGCTAGAATAATAGAAAAATAATATACAGTTAACGATTGGAATGATCTCAAGTCAGTGGCCATTATAGTGGCCGCCCGTCCCGAATGGGTTAAAAAAATGTAACTTACTTCATTGACAACTTTCTGTCCTCGATAAGCAGCTGCTTGTGTCTGAATTAATGCTTGAAACTGTGGAGTGATATATTTTAGCGTAATTATAGCATTTAAAATCGAGAAGAAAATCTGAAAATAATTCACTTGCAGTATTCGCAAAATCTTCTCTCCGTATGTACCGCACACACAATACCAATCATGTACTGATCTTCTCGAATAAATTTCGCACCATACTAACATCCTTTAAATAAACTTAAATAACGAACAAACCTACTTTTAACGGTATTACTTAATCCAAATAAACGATATGCAAGCAGCAATTCCAGATCCATTATAAAACTATCAATGATATTTTTCCTAATTGCGGTTCCCTTGAATTTCTCAAGTGACTGTTCGTAACCAAAAAAAACACGGAATTGATCACTTTTCGCTTTCGAAATACTTGTTATACAAGCGATGGATTTCTTTTTCTTAGTCGTTGTATGACAGAACAGTACGAAACGAACTTATCACTTCTTTCGCGATATTTCCAGCGCTTCCATATGCTTTCGAGTCATTCCAGAGCTAGATCGTAAGTATTTGTACGTGTCCTAGCTCTGATTCATCCACATTGGGTTTCGCGACAATCTGAAGACAAACAATGACAATGAATGAAGTGAGAATGATTGATAATGTAGACAATACCATCAATGCTAGTTTCCATCCTTTGACGAAATCTAGGTCGTTACAAATTTTCCTTGCTCTTGTGCACAGAAAAGATCAACGTACCGATTACAATAGAGAACATCGGTAAAAAGTGGTATATCGAAACTGAAAAGGAGAGATATAGAAAAGTAACATGGGTAAATACAATTAGTTGATACCGATTGGAGAATTTTTACAGGTTCACTTGATTACCTTTTCTTCCAACACCATCGTCTGATCGGTAATCGGTTTTCGCTCCTATCGTTCGGTACAACAATATGCGTCACGAGAAATTCCCACAGCAGTAACGGCACTCATATTCATCTTACAGATATACGAGTATCACATAGTACAAGAATAGTACGTTGATCGAAGTCATTGATTCGTGAGATGACATCAACAAATTAAAATCTTGCTAGTACGAGACGGTGTTTACTGTTTTGAATGTGACTGCACTCTATACATTTAAAAAGCTCTGAGTACGTAAAAGGGGTAAATTTTATTTAAAATTCAACAGACTAGATTGATGGAATAAATCAATGATTAGCGAAGAAGTTTCAATAATGTTTTAGTTTGTATATCCAAAGCAGTGTTTTATGGAGAATTCGTAGTACGCCTATCAAAGCAAAAGAGGGAGCTCGTTTTACGCGTATGTTAACATGTACATTGTTTCACGCTGCGCACTGCAATCGAACGACTTGCTTCTTTTACACTCAATAAATCATGTTAGCTTAAAAACTTCGAGAGTTAAAACAATTATTTCGAATGAATCGTTTACATTGAAAAATATTATTCACGAATATCAATTACGTCTATTGCAAACTTGTGCGCGGACCAGGAGTCATCTCCATATGAGATGGATGTTGCTGATGTTCTGAAGTTGCAGTCTGAAGTGACATGATATGGTTTTTTCGAAAACATTTCAAAAGTAGATTTTTAAAAACTCGTCGTACTTCGCTTGACATGCATAAATAAATGTAAAAAGTACACACATAATTGCAATGAAATAGCAAGAGAATCACTTGACCAAAAAAATCTTCCAGTGCCAAACGAAAGCCATCTTTTGGAATACGACTCGTTAAATCAAGATAGATACCTTGAAAACCGAATGGGACTCCGGATATACCCAAGACAATCAATTGCGGAATGAGCATTCGACGAACTTGTTTCATCAAATGATCTTGTTGACGTTCTCCATGAAATGAACGAAGATTTTTCGCTGTACCATATGTGAAAAGCATAATGATGATCAATGGACCCACACTGTACACAAATGGCGTTAGAAAGTAAGTATTAAATTGAGTAAATGCTCCTGGCCGTAGTACACAAACACCATCGATGATTTCACTAACAAAAATAATCGGTATATAAGCAAGTGACCAGAAAATAACGGTGCCAACGATCACCCATCGAACAAAGTGAATGGAACTCCAACGGTGTCGAAAATTTGCATTGCGAGATGTGTTAACATATTGATCAAATGCTGCCCAACATGGAAACGAAATAGCCGTAACCGTTGTCATGTACAACAAATAGTTATGTTCACGACAAGCAACGAGATTCGTATCCAAAAAGCGTAAACCAAATCCATTAACGAGAATGCTTTGGGAATAAATCATTGGGAGATGAATTCCTGTCATTGTTGCACCGGCTAATAGATATGTTATAGTAGCATTACGCCAGAATAAAGGCTGTCTGGTAAAGATGACAACAGTTAAAATAGCTCCAATAATTCCTAGAGTAATAAACGGTATAGCGACAACATAATTAAGCCATCTCGTGATGATTCTCAGTGTTGTTTCATCCAACATCTTAAATGGTTCTTCTTTATCTTCTAGATGTTTTCATCAATAACTTTTATACTCGTAATTTTCCTGTAAAAAGAAAACTGATAAAGTGTTGATAATTATTATGGCACATTGAAGGTTTTACTCGCATTACTCTAATTCATTTGTTTTTACAACGCAATAAATATGCATTTCACTTTCCACTGATGCATATCGATTCTTTTTGAAAGGTTAATTAATAAAATTCCTTTTCATGAAAAAACTGTTGTTTGAAACTAATGTCTTAACTAGAGAACATTTTTAGTTGAAAAAATTAAAATTCTATTACGGATTCCAAGCTTTCCGGTTTTTTCTTGAAACGCCTATGGTGTATTTATATATATATATATATATATATATAGAACAAAAATGTCGAGAAAACGCGTAGAATTCCTTAAAAATCTTTTTTTAGTTTTCAAAAATGTCAACAAAGTCTAGAAACATATTTTCTGTGAAACATCAGACCAGTTCTATTGAAAATTTTGAAGGCTCAGGCATTTTCTCTAAACATCTCAATAGCTATATTTCATCAACGTAGACCCTATTCAATTAAATTGAATAATTTCTGTTTTCCTCTACCCGTGGTATCCAACAACTTCCATGACAGTATCCTCATAGAACGAAATCGTACTAACGGCTCCGTTCTAATAAATAGAACGATTTGCTGTTATCTCGTCTACCAAAAATGAGACCATGGAATTGAAAGAGACATTACTATCGAAATGATAGATTTCCCATTTTTCTATGAGGGCACCTTTAGATATAGTCCTATTCACAAATATTATGATTTTACACGAATGAGTTTACGAGGTGAATCATTAGGTATCAGAAAATGCCGACTACTCGTTAGTGCTTCTTTACTTTTTCAATCTAATTCAATGTCATGAGGAAAAAATTGTGAACATCCGATCCCATGTGCAATTATTTTTAGTATAAACGCATTTTAAACGCAAAGCACAAATGCGTCTTTGAGATGCGCTCAACCGCGATTCTTTTCCAAATGTGTTTCATATTCTTTTTTTCCAAAAATACATTCTATCGCTACAGCTTCGACCTGCGCCACCATTATTCTCTTCTGATGAGCATCTTTTCCAACATAATTCGAATAGGATATCTATTTTATTTTTATACATACGTTTAGATTGTTCGACGATTGAGACAAGAACATAAGACCTTTCAATTACAAGTCTACTGACTTCGACCATTGCACTACATCGATTTATCTAGGAATAAATGAGATAATCCGTACTGTCAATGCTTTTCTAAGGACAAAATTGAGATTTTTTCAATTGAATAAAGAAGATAAATCAACTTTGTTCTTATTCTTATTTAAGACGAATAATTCGATACATTGATGAAAGCTTTATTTGTTGAGTGAAAAATTAGTTGAATATTAATTATGAATAATCACGATTCTCAGCATGATTTTGATGAATAAGATATTTGTTATTTCTATTCCTTATGATTCTATAATGAGTGATTTTTAATAAACACACCAAATTTTGTTCATATTGTCTATTACTTGTTATTTTCCATTATCTTTCACTTATATCAATTCTGTTTTGCAATTGAAAAAAAAATTTCGATCCTTTTTATAAATTATGATCAGAACAGGTCACAGTTTCGTTAAAAAAAGATAGGATTTAGTAAACTATCTTAACTATAAAATTTTTAAAAGAAAGTATCATTGATCTTAATCAGAAACGCGATTAAAACAAGCATAGAACATTGTTAATGCACAAATCTTGATTGGTTCAAGAAGAAGAATCGATGAGGAGAAACCGCTAATTAGCGATGTCAGCCATTTTTGAGTTTTCAAATCGCCAAATTCGATTTCGCGAACAATAATAAAAAAGACTGATACGAAAGTTATGATAAATGACAAACCATACGCAAGGAATAGATACCACTATGAAAATTTCAGTCGGAATGGCTTCTTGGTGTTCGGTTTGTCCGATGAAATCGTTGGTATTGGGTTGATGTGAGAAAGCGTTTGACGTGGTGGTGAAACTAGTGTTTGGCTTAGTTGAATGCGCTGAAAGAACTGAATGAGGCATAAATTTGGTAAGAATATCAACAACTCAACGATAATAGAAATTCCAATCTATACATTCGAAACAGAACAATAGAAGTAGAAATGAGAAGGATGTGCAATGAACCAAACGACAAACTACTCTTTCCACCGGTGCTACTTTTTGCGTCATTCTTTTGATCATAGTAGAGGATGTTTAACAGCATTGAAATGAGTAGTAACACGAAACAGCAGGTACATCGTTGAATACGTGTGAATTTATTCGACAGTGGACAAGAACAGAGATTTCATAATAGGTTTGTTTAGACAGAATATACGCAAATTCATCCATTCTCAATTAACTTGATACGAGTAAGAGATGTTCGGTCTAAAACTTCAAACACGGAACACTAAGAACTACAATAGTAGCACTTACACGTCCATCATCTTTTATTAATGGCAAACCATCGTTGATAAATAAAATACGACTTTTCCAATGTTTGTAAATCACGAACGATCAAATATTTCAGAAACCACAACAAATTATCTTGATCGCTATGCCAAATAGGAATAAAATTCAGTTTTTCCAATGACTTAGAAACAGTCATCACAAATGACTCCACTTGGCCACGTTGAAATATCTGTTGCTTAGAATGATTGAAGGTTGGAACTTATGTTTCATCTTCATCACCAGCGAGAATGGAATAAGCTCGAGATTGGGTTCCAGCATTTTTTCGATTTCCAGTGAAGACAATGATTTGATAACAATACTAATCTTTCCTATGGTAAGCTTCCAATGCGAGCATTATCCTTATAACATGTGCAAAGATCATGCTGAGTAGATAAAGAATAGAAACGCAAATCACGGTGACATAAATTGTTTTTTTGCGATTGAAATCTGCATTTGCGAAGACATATTTCCAGTTAATAGATGCTAGTAACGCAAGAAATCCACTCACAAATGTTGTTAAATGAGTCGAAAAAAGTTTATCACATTCAATTGCAAAATAATCAAAATGAAGTTTGTGCTCTTAACTGCGACAGGAATGAAATTTGTTTGTATTGTCGCGATGTATTCGTAATAAAGAAAAATACAGGTGAAAAAGAATCTGTTCGTTGTAAATCTCGCCCATGACAATACCTTTATGATGACAGCAATTCACTAAAATAACATATGCGAAAAAAAAAACACATGTTTACTGGATAACTTTTATGATCTGAAGTACATCATCAATTTGAATAAAATGACATGTAGATTCTATACGATATTTTCATTGTGCAATGTTGTATATTGTATCTTAATAGTTATATGTGATTTAACGAGGCAATTATACTGTTTTTTTTTCATATGATGTAAAGAAGTATTTTCTTTCTTCCTGTCAAAAATAAATTCACAGGATAATATGATTACGTGCATTGCTATTGTTTTTAAGAATGCAACAAAATATTTTGCGTCACTTTCAAATTTCATTGTTTCTCATGAATACGAAGTTTTCTCTTATTATTTATTACTGAAAGAATCAACAACGCGAAACGGATTACCATGTACAAATATGATATTATAAACGAATAATTTATACTCATTTCACTTTGATACTGTGTATTCTTATTATGTTATTTCAGATAACGTGATAATTCAGAGAACTCCGACAATGACAACTCTTTTTTGAGCAGAACGACTTGATCTACTCAAAGATGAACTTCTGCATGAGATCTTCATTCAAACAGCACAAAACTTTCCCGATAAAGTCGCGATTCGTTAGCAAAATGAAGAGATTACTTACTACCAGCTCTATCAACACGCATCCTATCTAGCTGCAGTTTTACAGCAAACAAAACACATCGGTACAAATGATCGAGTAGCTATATGGTTGGCACGTTCAGCTCAGTTACACGTTACCATTCTCGCTATTTTGATGACCGGTGCAACGTATGTTCCGTTCGATGCTGATGCACCCGAGGAACGTGTCAACGAAGTACTCGAAGATTTGCAGATCACACTTCTTCTTGTCGATTCACGTCGTCCGATAACAACACACTCATTAGCATTTAATGTTGAACACGTAGCCGAGAAAACTGATAATATTTGTAAAATTGAGCAATTAACTGTAGATACACATAGAAATTTACCAGCTTATATCATCTGTACGTCGGGTTCGACAGGCAAACCGAAAGCGATTGCAATCAGTCATCGAAGTATTTGTCATTTCGTTCGTGCTGATAATGAAGTCATGCAAATCAAGTATGATGATGTTGTTTACCAAGGTTCTTCAGCTGCATTTGATATGTTTCTTGAAGAAACATTTCTTTCGTATTCTGTGGGCGCAACTTTGGTCGTCGCGTCGAAAACGGATGTTTTAAATAGTGATCAATTACACTTATTCTTCAGTCGTCATTCAATCACGGTTTTGTTTTGTGTGCCAACGCTACTACTTTTGATGTCCGATGACCCTGCATTGAAAATTCGTCTCATCAATAGCGGCGGAGAAGCTTGTCCACAAGTAAAAGAGATAAACTCTAAAATAAAGCGCTTCTTCATATGATAATGTTTATGACTCCTAGACACTTGTGGATCGATGGTGGAAAGAGGATCGAGTGATATTTAATTCTTATGGTCCTACTGAAATAACAGTTGCTGCCACTGTGCAATCTCTGCATCCTGGCCACCCAATTAGCATCGGTGCTCCGTTACCTAATTATGTATGTTGTTTACTTGATGAGGAGACAGGCCAGCCAACGTCTGAAACAACCGGTGAATTATGCATACGTGGACCAGGTGTTGCTCTGGGCTATATTAATCGTGAAGCATTGACTAAAGAGAAATTCACGGAATACGGTTATCGCACAGGTGATCGTGTGTCGATTGAGAACGAGAAGATCTACTTCCATGAACGAATTGATTCTCAAGTCAAACTTCGTGGTTTTCGTATGGAGCTCGATGAAATCGAACAGGAATTGCTTCAATTAGAAGATAGAGTTGTGTCCGCTGCTGTGGCTGTTGTTCATGAGCAATTGGTCGCTTTTGTTGTCGGCAGCTTGAGCGAATCACAGATGCGAGAAGAACTCAGACAACGACTTCCTTCTTACATGATACCTGACCGATTAATTAAAGTCGATGGAGTAATGCCTCATTTACCCAGCGGCAAAATTGATCGCAAAGCTCTCTTATTGATGGACGATACAATAAAACCGAAATTTACTGATACGGAAACTAACTCTAACTTTGAAACAGAACATACTATCGACGAATTAAGTGAAGATAGCCAACCAATCGATGTTATTATTAATATTTTTCAAAAGAGTTTCCCACATCAACAAGTAAAGCCTAATAATGATTTCTTCGTCGATCTTGGTGGTCATTCGTTGATCGCCGCACTTACAATCACAGAATTACGTAAACATTTTCCCATTGTTGCTTTGAACGATTTATATGAATGTAAAACCGCAACTAAACTTGCTGAACGGTTAACTAGTCAACCAACTGAAAAGAAAAACGACGAAAGTAGCGCAAAAACTTCTGTTATTTACCTCAAACCTTCTCTGGCAAGGATGATTGTGTGTAGTATTTACCAATTATTAGTAATATTGGTGCTCGGTACAATTGCTTCCATGGAACTTCTTCTACCATACATAGGGTTTGTTTTACTATTGAAGGAACATGATCTCGGCTACGCATGTCTTGCCGCTTATGTAGCGCTGGTTGGTACAATGATAGTTCGATACAGTTTACCCATTTTGGTCAAGTGGATACTGATCGGTCGATTTAAAGAAGGTGACTTTCCTTTGTGGGGTTCGGTGTACCTGCGCTGGTGGACTATCGAGAAGCTACGAAATCTGGCTATGGAAGGAATATTAGCTGATAGCCCATTGATGAGTATTTACTATCGACTTCTTGGTGCTAGAATTGGCCGGAATGTTCATTTGGGCTCTATCAATTGTGCCGCACCTGATCTATTGGAAATCGATAATGAAACAACCATATCATCAGAAGTGCATTTTCAGACCGCCTTTGTCGAAGATTATACGTTGAAATTTCGTAGAATTTGTATCGACAAAGATGTGTACATCGGACGTCGAAGTGTAGTAAATGGGCAAACAAGAATGAACGATTATTCTGAACTAAATGATTTATTCTTTCTGCCGGCTAATACATCCGTACCTACCGGTGAAGTATGGCATGGTTCACCCGCCACGTATTCTCATAATGTTGAAATGGAAGCATTACCTTATGACGCAGCCAATAGTAAATTCAAATCTCTGATCACTGCGATTATTTTCACTGTGATCGTTGTTTTCTTCATACCATTCTTCTATTGTATTCCAACGATTCCAGGTCTTATTCTTTTCGAATATGTGGATTTAAAACCAATCAACGACTGGGTACAAGTCATTATCTTTGCTGTCCCTGTTGGCATCTTATATACTTGTTTAGTTATTGTACAAATTGTTGTTATCCGGTTTTTGTTTATCGGTACTCCAACAGTAGGTATCTATAGCACGCACTCATTTGTTTATATACGAAAGTGGTTATTCGATCGAATTTTCAATATTGCGTTACATATTATCCATACGTTTTATGCTACGCTGTATATGGTACCTTTTCTTCGAGCATTAGGAATGAAGATTGGTAATCGTTGTGAAGTGTCGACGGCGATAGGAATGGTTCATTCATTAGTTGAAATCGATGATGAATGTTTTATCGCTGATAATGTTCTTCTTTGTGATCCATACATTCGATTCGGGCAGATGCATTTACAACGGACGACGATTGGTAAACGTGTTTTCATTGGAAATTCCGCAATCGTTCCAGACGGAATACAAATACCAAATGAATGTTTAATTGGATGCATGTCTCTCGTTGCTGATGGCATGGAAGCAAAACAATCGTGTCTAGGTTCACCAGCATTTATCTTACCAAATTGAGAACAAGTTACCGATGATATTCCAGAAAGTTTGACATACCATCCTAATACTTCTATGATTGTTCAGCGTTTTTGTATTGACACGGTACGTGTATTCTTACCGCGAATTATCGTTGTTTTAGAAATCGGTATAGCGATCCAAATTTTCAATCACTTAAACGAATCAGTTGATTATGGCTATTGCTTATTTCTCTTACCTCTTTTGTACTTCGCTGTACTTGCAATACCATCTACATTGCTTTGTATTGCTCTGAAATGGTTACTGGTGGGAAAATATCGATTATGTAAAAGAATTCCTACGACCATACGGTTTCGACCTTTTTCAAGGGTCAATCCTCAGGTAGGACTAAATACTGCATAGAAACATTCAAACTGAAATTTGAAATGATTATAAAAATCTTCCAAAATATCAAAATGAATCTTCAAGAAGCAGTAGAAGCAATTCAATACATAGTAAGAGATTATGTAAAAGAATTCCTACGACCATACGGTTAATTATACAAATTAGTTACCACGATCTCGATTTCGACCTTTTTTAAGGGTCTTTCATCAAGTGGTTTAATAATCTGCATATAGAAATTTAACTCAAACAAATCAAAAGATAGAAATCTTTCAATTTACGAAGCATAAATTTCGAAAGCAGCAGATAATCCAATTTATATATAGGTGAGTTATATATAGTGGAGCCCTACTATCGCGCTTTCGATCTTTTGATTTGTTTGAGTTAAATTTCTATATGCAGATTATTAAACCACTTGATGAAAGACCCTTAAAAAAGGTCGAAATCGAGATCGTGGTAACTAATTTGTATAATTAACCGTATGGTCGTAGGAATTCTTTTACNGTAGATGAACGAAGAGAATAGCTATGTTATAATCCTGAACTGATTGCGGATGAGTAGTTACACACCATGTATAACTGACTATCACGGTTTCTTCTGTAGGATTTTTCCTTTATTTCATGCATGAATATTCCGCGGTAGAGTAGCTCATGAGTGATCGTGCCCATAATCACAATCGGTAAGATGAAGATGATCCATTGAGCAAAACGTTTGCGTTTCTCTTTATCGAAACTCATTCCTCTGTAAATACTCATCGCACGTTCAATTGCTACACATGCGCACAGCCAGGCGTCCCAATAAAAGAAAAATTTGAGAAGAGACTCAATCCACTTACAGCCACCTGCGAGAACATACTGGAGAATAGATGTACTCATCTGTGTGACGATAACAAGCCAAAACTTGATTGTAAACATTGTAGTCGTTAACAGAGAAGGCACTGACGATGCAAGATGATACAATCCACATCCAACTTGTTGCGAACTTGCATTGTGAAAATTTAAAATCGAACAAACGCTGCTGATGACACCCGCAAGAAGCATAATTACGGTCAAAGCGCCACTGATTTTGATCAGAAGTGATTGATAGTGTATGGTCGCATTCCGATTGACCTCCAAACGTAACATATCGTCGAGAGTGAGACCAATACTTTTCACTTGAACATTGCACGGACCATCGACATAACAATAAGTAGAATTATGTTAACTAAGCTAATCGATGAAAGGAAAACAATCAAAGAGTACTCTATTTAAAGAAAGAACAAAACATGTGTACGTTCTGTCTTCGTAGGTAGTTACTTACTAAAGCGTGGCAAAGTAACATTTGACGGCAAGTAATGTGTATATGATGTCTGACCAAAGATAAACGGTATGTTTTATTTCGCCATCATTGGAACATATACCGTATGCTCATCGACTGAAATTAAATTTTTCTTTGGATTCAGCAGATCGAAATGGTTTTTGTAGATGTAAATGTTTATATCCGAGTTCTGCATAATGGAAAAATCATAGTATGTATCAGCGAATACAGTCAATTCTATAGTTTCCTAGTAATAATTCACACGAGTACACTCTTTGTCATACTTTTGATTATCTGTTATTAGTTCTGATGAATACGTCAAGTAAATGACTGGTGAGATATCTATTCAGGAACAATGTTAGGCTTGGTTTTTCAGTGCTCGTGAAGATTATGTGGAGTACTCACCCGTGCGTTGAAAATAGACATGACTTTTGCCAAAAGTTTTGAACGAGAAATCCCACATTTGGTCCAGCTTGCATACGGTCACAACGAATACGTAGCGAGTATCGCTAAGAAGCTCAAGAGTAATTGTACGCTATTCATAACGTTTACAAGTATTTTTTCGTTTAAGTAAACATCCAAATGGAATGAGTGCATAAAAATCATGCTCATAGATATAAAGTCTCATGCCCATCTCCGTAATTTCATCTATCATAATAGTGTAAAAGCCACTTTCGATGACACCTACTTGTACTGCTTCATAGTATTCTCTGGGATCTGCTTCACAATCAATAGGAGAATATTTTTTGCTGTCGTGTGTCAGTGTGGAAGTATATGTTGATTCAATGAATTGTTCAATATTTAATCAATCCAAAGAGTATTGTGAACCTACTACTCTAAGTCATGTTTTCAATCTATTTTGTGTTAAAAATGACTGCTTAACGTGTCCGAAATTTAGGGATAAATAGAAAGTGCAAAGGAAGTGCATAGCTTGACTCGCATTTCTGTAACAAAATTTATAGAACGATCAAGTAACACTTTATTTCTACTGTATGTCATCCGAATACTGTGATTGAGAACGGACCTGTTACAAATGGATTGTATGTTGTTATAACCAATATGTACTTCGTATAGACATGAAGTTCAAGTGTAAATTCGAATCGATCGTTACTGCAGCGTTCGCGGCTTGTCGGATCAAACGGGTGAAAACGATCTTTGTAGACATAGCCGTATAGCTCGATATTGCTGACACCAATTAAGATGTAAAAACCATTTTGACTTACAAATATTTCAATGGCTTCGTAGAAAAAAGCGGAGGAATAAAATGGAGCGTGTGCAAATCTCCCATGATCTTCTGTTAAAAATGTCGATGAAAAAGTTGCCCGAATCGTTGTTGGAACATCGACTAAATAAAAGCAAAATGATTTGTACTTGAATAATGAATATCAACAATTTTGTCACAGTTATTCTCATGTGTTATAGAGCTTTTCCTAAGATTACTCAAAATATTAGTCCAAGAATAAACTTACAGTCCATTAATTCTATTTTCCATTTAAGAAATGATTTCAACTCTTCAGTGGCAGTCAACGTAAAAGAAATGTATGTTGAAAATACTATTCCAATTGAAATATTGGGTTCTTACCACAAGAATCTTCGAGCAAATCGAATTTTTGGATTCGGCTATTTCCTTTATCAACAACAAACAAGTTCCCATAGATATCAAAGCGGAATCTCTGTGGTGATTTCAATTGATGAGATCGTGTACCGCCTCCATCACATCCAACTAAACATCGAAAGCCATTAAGTCCAGACGCAACGATACGATTGTTTCCGCCATCGGGGATGAAAAGATAATTGTAAGCGTCTAATATAACTGAATGTGGTTGAGAGAGTCCAATTGTAATATCTGATGAGCTTTGTCCTGCAACTGTTTCATCTAACCGAAAAAGCTGAATCCGCGACATACAGATCGCAATCAGTATCAACAAAGATCCCTTCAGGGTCATCTAGTTCAATGTCACTGGAACCGTCACGACCTGTACCAGCCACAACCATCATTTCCATCTCATTGTCGACCGGTGTCTTCCAAACTATATCTTCCAAAACTGACGAACAATATAAATAACCGCTAGAAGCAACGAAAAGACTAGCACATTGTGTTTTAACTTCCATAATGTTACCAGAACTATTCGCACTTGACACCCATTTGAGAACTTTCTTCTCAGATATATTAACATCAACATAGACTTCACCAATGTTTGAAACAAATATCGATGGAGACACCGACCACTTTGTTCTCAGAATCTTCGTAGCATGGATACTATTCGGATTCCAAATTAGAATTTGATGTTTTTGAGAAGGAGCAACATGGATTGTATTGCTTCTATCGATAAATATGTCGGCACCCTCTGTTCCAAGTAGATCGCTATTGACAAAAGTGGTTGCAGTTTAGCTCCATTTGACTGAACGAAAGAGCTACACAACGAAAACAGGTGATCTGGAGAGAAATTTCATAAGTTTTTCCAGACAGCCGTCGAGTGACAGGCGTTCTCGAATTGAAATGGTTACCTGATATGATTTCATTGAAGGCAATCAGTAAAAAGATCATGAGCACAAAAAAGAACGACGATTTAATAACATGTCAAAGGAGCTTAGAATAATAAAACCGTCTTCTGTTCGTGCACTCTCCAGTATCTATGTTTCTCTTGCTTTTCATGATTGATGCAAGTAAATACTTGTTTTTACCACGAATCACTTCAACGACGTTCTTTCTTTTCTCCTCGCATATTTACAATAACTCTGTAATTCACATCGATTCATCATTCATTCATTCATGACAACACTATTGAAGCATAATAAATCCAAGTCTTGTATCTAAATGTGAACAAGACGAGAATGTTCGGTTGCTTATTTAGAATATTTGGATTTATGATGAACAGATAACGATCAACTGAGAGATGAGCATCGCGAAACAAGAGAGTTGTATTTAGACTGTAGTTGAGAGCAATCCAGAACTTGCAGAAACGATAAGTCTCGAATGGAACAAGGCCGCTCCTCAGAAACGCCAACAAAAATTGAAAGCGACTTTGCTTTGATGTATGATGATGTTGTTGAACCGATGTCTGCTGACTCGTTCATTTGGATCAGATAAATCAAACTGATTATTGCAGTATGGCATTAACTACCTGAAAAAAGGGGATTGTGATTTCGGTCTTCGTCCTTATGTGTGGAATACGCGTTTTCAAACGCGTTTCGAAAGCTCAAGACCTATAAAAAGCTAGTAGCTATCAACGGAAAACTTTAGAAAAAGCTATTTCAGACCGGTTCTTATTACAACTTCGATCGTAGAACGATCTTTTCTCCTGATTTGTGTAGGAAAAAAAACACTTGAAGGATATACTTGAATGCCAGGAACAACGAAAAAGCAGAAAAGATTTCGAGGCGAGGCATCAGTGAACTAAGATACAAAACTTAATCTACTGCGCATATAATTTATTCCGATGAATCTGTGAGGGTTTACTTGAAAAAAAACTCATTGAATTGGGTCAACTGAGGGATTAGTTAGAGAAAGAACACGAGTTTATTCTGGGTGTCGTGGATCTGTCTGCATTCTCTGTAGTTTCTAATTGGTTTACATATTATATTTCGTCGACATATTCAATAATATGATTCAAAAGGATTTAAAATTTTCTATTTGATTTCGTTCGCATGATAAGTTCTGAAGCATAATGACCTGTTCACGGGCGCGTTTCTGCATATCCGAGACAGTGCATCCTAGTTTTTTGGAAAAATGTTTGTAAAACTGGATTTTTCTCTGCATATGGCATCTACCTCTTTACGACCTCAATCCGCTGAGGACAGTTGCAGTTCCGGTCAATCGATGAGAATAATTATATATAAAAATCTATTGGAGTGACTGCAAACGCATCCTCCATGTGACAGCTAGTGATCCGTGCACGTTGGATAAAGAGAAAATTAAAAAAAAGAAAGAATCAGAATACCTGCACGCATCAGCAGTTTTCACCTACGAATGTGTAAAACAGGTAGATAAAGAACGAAAAATATGAAATAAACAAACAGCAAACGTGCACGCATTCGGAGCGTAAAATATATGATTGTTTAATAGAAGTGAGTCTTTCAAAGTAAAACCTGATGTGTACATTGATGTATAGTGCAGTTTCGAATTATTTAAGGTTAAAATGTAATATACAGAGCGATTGGGGATGTTTTACAGATGCAGAAACGTGACAGATTTTTCGAAAAGAATGATAAACAATCGCTTTTTCCTGTCCGACTTGAGTCTAGTCACAATTTTATGACAAATCGAGCATTTTCTCAAAAAGTCACCTTATACTTATAATCAACGTAAGAAGTTCCCCTTCGGACGCTACTTATTGCGATTTTCTATCGTTTAAGAGCTCCAATCAAATCCATCAACAGATACTTGCATGTCTTTATACTCTCTAGGTATTCCATGACTTCAAATTATGAACGATTTGAATTCGATTCTGTCCCAGAAAAACAATTGCCCTCGCAAAACAAAGTTTCCACATGGAACACGTTCAAACACCACATTCCTCGTATTCTGATTACGGCTTTCATCGATATGTTCGTGCCACTTATAATTTATTTTCTTCTTAAAAATCGGATTCCGTCCGTGTACGCTCTTTTACTCGCTGGTGCTCCGCCTTTCTTCATGGTTATATACAAAGCTATCCAGGAAAGTTCGTTTGATGCAATCGGCTTTCTTGTCTGTGCTGCGTTTTTACTCGCAGCTGTGTCTGCCGTATTCTTCGATGATCCTTACATACTCTTATTTGAAAAGTCATTTGTCACTGGCATAGGAGTAGTAGCATTTTCCATTACATTGATTCCATTCCGATGTCACTATTCCAGTAAATATCAATGGCGACCATTAGTGTATTATTTCTATCACGATTTAATACCAGTAAATCGAACGGAATTCGGATTACCCGATAGTGCGTTTGATGACGACCAATACACAGAGCGTACGGAACTCAGAAATGAAATGGCAAGCAAAGGAATATCTCGTGCAGGAGAAGCCCGTTTAGTTTATGCATGGCTGTACGAGCATTGCTCATCGTTCCGTATTTCATGTTATTTCATGACATCCGTCTGGGCGGTAGCCTTTTTGAGCGACTTTATCATCCGATTTGCTCTCTATGCTGCTAACGCATCAATAAACACGATGTACGTATGGGGACAAATTACATTCTGTATCGCTTGTGCTCTATGCGCTGTTCTACAGATACTGACGATGACAATTGAACGAAAGTATACGTTAGCGTACATTGAGCAATGGAAAATTGAACATCTGAATGCTCAACAATTGCCGTCAACCAGATAACAAGATCATTATCGAGAAAAAAAATGTTTTTCTATGAATTGAAATATCCACAATAAATCGGTATGAGCTATTGCTTCACTCACAGAGTTGTCTATGTAGAATCCTTTAATTTTTGGCATATCATGCGACAATAACGACCACCATAAAAGGAAGTTTATCACACAGATAGTATCAGTTGCACATTTGTGAGCCTACCTTTATCAAGAAGTAACGCTTTCGGATTTCGTACCCAATGCTCTTGCGATGGCTAGACATGAAGCACATCGGCTGTCAAAAGAAAGTTTGCCTTTCATTTATCTCACCAATTCATTGTTTTTGACGGCCTAATAACTGAGTACCTTTTGAGCCTCATGTTGTCTCGTATTCCTTCAAGTCAGAAGAAACCAAAACGATAACGAAATAAAGCAGCGTCGTACATGAGGAATACTTTGAATAAAATCATGAATATTTGCGTTTTTAGTCGCTTGCAAGATTTCATCCAGTGGAATACTTGTTCGATTATTATTCCCATAAGCAATATTTTCACAAATTGTCATGTCAAATAAAATAGGTTCTTGGGCTATTTGAACATTTACCACTTAACATGGTCATTTTGGTACGGATTATAGCAAATACTGGCTCTACTGCTCCATTGAGTAAAGCTGCAACACATCCCTTATCTTCATCAAGGAGTCAAATTTTTGAATCTCGAGTGAGTGCTCGAGCGATAGCTAACTATAAAGCAAATTGATAAACAATATTGTACCTTGCTTCACTGATCACAATTCAGTGTTTCTGCCCACCAGACAGTGCAGTTTCATACTTCTGCATAAAACTTAGAACCAGTGAGTCAAATAAGTGAGAAGTTTTTGAAAACTTACATCAAGCAAAGTCATGATATAGTCATGTGCATTCGCCATTTTCGCTGCTTGTATTGTTTCTTTTTCAGTCACTGAATGCGTCCCAACAAAAACGGTTCCTGACTACCAACACCGATATGTTTTCGAAGCCATTTCGAATTGTATTCAGTGATGTCCTTGTCATCGATCAGTATGGAACTTGAGTTTAGACCATAGAGTCTTTGTAATGATTGCACACATGTGGATTTTTTGAACCCGAGCAGGTCGCGAGAGCAACGGTTCGACAGGGTGAACTTCAAATAATAGATTCAAGAGATATGGAACGTTTCGTCGTTATGGATAAGCACAATTGACGTCAGAAAAACGTATATCACCAATAAAATCAGCGCTTGTTTTTCTTATAATCATTGAATAAGTAATGATCGTCGATAGCTGCAAAAGATATACTGTAAGGTTTGTGCATTAAAAACATGTAACTTACTTCATCGACAACTTTCTGTCCTCGATAAGCAGCTGCTTGTGTCTCAATTAATGCTTGAAACTGTGAAGCGATATATTTTAGCGTAATTACAGCATTTAAAATCGAGAAGAAAACCTGAAAAGAATTCACTTGCAGTATTCGCAAGATCTTCTCTCCGGTGCGTACCGCACACACACAACACCAATCATGTACTGATCTTCTCGAATAAATTTGGCATCATACCAACATCCCTTAAATAGACTTAAATAACGAACAAACCTACTTTTAACGATATGCAAGCAGCAAGTCTAGATCCGCTTTGAAACTACCAATGATGCTTTTCTTAGTTGCGGTTCCCTTTGATTTCTCAAGTGACTGTTCGTAACCAAAAAGAAAACATGGAATTGATCACTTTTCGCTTTCGAAATACCTGTTATACAAACTATGGATTTCTTTTTCTTGGTCGTTATATGACAGAACAGCACGAATTTTTCTCACTCGAGGGCAAATTTACCATAAAACTGACAACGAATGAAGTGAGAATGATTGATAATGTAGATAGTACCATCAATGCTAGTTTCCATCCTTTGACGAAACCTAGGTCGTTACGAATTTTCGTTACTCCTATGCACAGAAAAGATCAACGTACCAATTACAATAGAACACTAATGCAAAAGTAACATGGGTAAATACAATTAGTTGATACTGGTTGGAGAATGTTTACAGTTTCACCTGATTACCTTTTCTTCCAACGCCATCGACTGATCGGTGATCGGTTTTCGCTCTTATCGTTCGGTACAACAATATGCGTCATGAGAAATTCCTACAGCAGCAACGGCGCTCATGTTCATCTTACAAATGCACGAGTATCACATAGTACAAGAATAGTACGTTGATCGAAGTCATTGATTCGTGAGATGACATCAACAAATTAAAATCTTGCTAGTACGAAACGATGTTTACTGTTTGAATGTGAATGCAGTCTATACATTTAAAAAGTTCTGAGTACGTAAAAGGAGTAGATTTTATTTAAAATTCAACAGACTAGATTGATGAAATAAACGAATGATTAGCGAAAAAGTTTCAATAATGTTTTAGTCTGTGTATCCAAAGCAGTGTTTTACGGACAATTCGCAGTACGCCTATCAAAGCAAAAGAGCGAGCTCGTTTTACGCGTATGTTAAGACGTACATTGTACTTCACGCTGCGCACTGCAATCGAACAACTTGCTTCTTTTACGCTGAATAAATCGCGCTAGCTTAAAAACTTCGAGAGTGAAAACAGTTATTTAGAATGAATCGTGTACATTGAAAAATATTATTCACGAATATCAATTCCGTTTATTTCAAACTTGTGTGTGGGCCAGGAGTCATCTCCATATGAGATGGATGTTGCTGATGTTCTGAAGTTGCAGTCTGAGCTGACAAGATATGGTTTTTTCGAAAACATTTCAAAAGTAGATTTTTAAAAATTCGTCGCACTTCGCTTGACATGTATAAATAAATGTAAAAGGTACACACATAATTGCAATGAAATAGCAAGAGAATCACTTGACCAAAAAAATCTTCCAGTGCCAAACGAAAGCCATCTTTTGGAATACGACTCGTTAAATCAAGATAGATACCTTGAAAACCGAATGGAACTCCGGATATACCCAAGACAATCAATTGCGGAACGAGCATTCGACGAACTTGTTTCATCAAATAATCTTGTTGACGTTCTCCATGAAATGAACGAAGATTTTTCGCTGTACCATATATAAAAATCATAATGATGATCAATGGACCCACACTGTACACAAATGGCGTTAGAAAGTAAGTATTAAATTGAGTAAATGCTCCAGGCCGTAGTATACAAACACCATCGATGATTTCACTGACAAAAATAATCGGTATATAAGCAAGTGACCAGAAAATAACGGTGCCAACGATCATCCATCGAACAAAGCGTATGGAACTCCAACGGTGTCGAAAACTTGCATTGCGAGATGTGTTAACATATTGATCAAATGCTGCCCAACATGGAAACGAAATAGCCGCAACCGTTGTCATGTACAACAAATAGTTATGTTCGCGACAAGCGACTAGATTCGTATCCAAAAAGCGTAAACCAAACCCATTAACGAGAATGCTTTGGGAATAAATCATTGGCAGATGAATTCCAGTCATCGTTGCACCAGCTAATAGATATGTTATAGTAGCATTACGCCAGAATAAAGGCATTCTGGTAAAGATGACTACGGTTAAGATAGCTCCGATGATTCCTAGGATAATAAACGGTATAGCGACAACATAGTTGAGCCATCTCGTGATGGTTCTCAGTGTTGTTTCATCCAACATCGTGAATGGCTCTTCTTTATCTTCTAGACCTTTTCATCGATAATTTTTATACTGGTAATTTTCCTGTAAAAAGAAAACTGATAAAGTGTTGATAATTATTATGGCACATTGAGGACTTTACTCGCATTACTGTAATTCATTTGTTTTTACGACGCAATAAACATACATTTCAGTTTCCACTGATGCATACCGATTCTTTTTGAAAGGCTAATTGATAAAATTCTTCTTCGTGAAAAAACTGTTGTTTGACGCTAATATCTCGACTAGAGAACATTTTTGGTTAAAAATAAATAAATAGTCTATTGCAAATTCCGAGCTTTCTGGCTTTTCTCGGCACGTCTATGGTGTACTTATGTATATATATATAGGAAAAAAATGTCGAGAAAACGCGTGAAACTTCTTTAAAAGTATTTTTTGTTTTTCAGAAATGTAAACAAAGTCTAGAAATATACTTCCGGTGAAACATCAGGCCAGTTCTATTGAATATTTTGAAGGCTCAAGCATTTTCTCTGAACATCTCAATAGCTATATTTCATCAACTTAGATCCTAAAATTCAGTTAAATTGAATAATTTTTCATTTCCTCTATTCGGGGAATCCAACAATTTCCATGACAGTATCCTCATAGAACGAAATCGTACTAACGACTCCCTCCTGATAAATACAGTGATTTGCTGTTATATTTTCTACCAAAAATAACACCATGAAATAGAAAAATGATAGATTTCCGATTTCTTTGAGGACACCTTTAGATATAGTCTTATTCACAAATGTTATGACTTTACACGAATGTGGCATGAATGATGTAAAACAGTATACGAGTTTTTCTATGATTAAAAGAAAAATCTAATCATTTTGCAGTTGCTTTTCATCAATGCTACATTTCGAACCAAACTCGTTAGGTATCATGTTCAGTCAATTGATTCTTGACATGGGTGATGATGCAAAAGTTGGGGATTCATGTCGATAGTCATCTGCATATGATCGAATCATGCAGTTCTCAGTTGAATGTTTCGTTTTGACAGATTTGAACGAATTTCGTAACGCAGCTAGAGAAGTCAATTATTCAGTTAACTGTAAAAAAAAGAATCTTTTATTTTGTTGACTTTTGAAATGAAAATGAGAAACAAACAAGTTGAATACTTCTTCTTCTTTCTTCATATTTTCATCAGGAAACTTATCGAAAATTCTTCCATCTTAAATAAAATCATGCAAGTTTCACGTTTTTCGATCAATATAGTTCTGCGCTGTCGATTCCAATACCTTTACTAGCTCCACCAGCTACTAATATTGTTCGATTTAATGTCATTGACGCTGTATGGTAATATCGCGCATCATGCATATTTCCAGTCATTGTCCAAGTACCGGTCGATGGGTCATACAATTCAGCACTATTGAGATGTGTAGTACCGTTACGTCCACCACTGACCAATATTTTTCCATCTGATAACACTGATGCTGTATGATAACATCGTGCAACACTCATGCTTCCAGTCACTTTCCACACTAAACAGAAAAAAGAAAATAAAAAGATTTGGTTTACGTATTTAACTTACATGCTGGAATCAAATCAAATTTCTGAATTCGATTATTTTGTTGATCAACGACGAACAGATTTCCGAACGAGTCAAAACTAAGACTCGACGGATATGTTAATTGATCTGCATTTGCTCCTTGTGATCCAGAACATCCTACTAAACAACGAAAACCTTGCGCATTTTGACCAATAATCCGATTATTATTCGAATCGACAATAAATAAATAGCTTTGATTATCTAAAGCAACTCCGCTTGGACAACTGAGATCAAATGTAAAATTCAAAGATCCATTTCCAACTACAGTTATTCCAGTCATTATTTCATACTTGAATAATTGAATGCGATGATTTCCACAATCTGCGACGAATAAATCTTGATTACTTTCATCAACGAAAATTCCTTTAGGACTTCGAAGTGTTGTTGATGTTGAACCAGGACTTCTTGTTCCCGCAACGACTGTCAAATGATCCCCATCGTTAATCAATGATTTCGAGATGATTTGATGTTGCTCAGATAACGAACAATAGAGAGTTTGACTTAGACTTAGAAAAATGTCAAAACATTGTTGACAAAAATTCATTCGTGGAATTGGAATCAAAGTCGTTGAATTTGATTTGATTTGACTTACTACACTAACTGATGAATAAAATGTATCAACATAAATATCATCTTGTATTGTGACAAATAAACTTGATGAATTTGTTAAATTAGCAGAAATATATTTGATCAAACTTAAGTTTCCTTGAAGAAAAGTGAGAATTCTTCCATTGGTTTTATTTGGAATATAGATTGTGTTATTCTGATTAATAAATATGTCGAATGGGTTTGATCCGATTAGGGCTCCATCCGCAATTGTTGTACCATTCGGATTCCACGTTGGGTTAGAAAAAAGTATTGGTCGATTATATGAATAACCTTCATTTACAAAAGAGTTCTCATCATATTATACTTATCGAGCAAATTTACCTGAAACTTCTTTTGTAAAGAGCAGAAAAGCCAGTAAATGAAAGTTATGGTAAAAGAACATCGAAGAATAAAAAAATTTTCCCAATTTGGCATAGGTTTTTATACGAAAGCCAACAAACATTGAATTTAAGGTTTTTTTAATCAATACCAAGTTCATAAAGAGCAAAAGCGATGATTTTCCTTTCTCGAAAGTTATTTGTACTTTAATAAATACAATGAAATCTCGGAGTAAGTATGCCAACTCCTACAGGACACTTTCTCTTTTCAAAAATATCATTTTTGAAATCGACTCGTTGCTCTGTAAACTAACTCGTTCTTTCACATAAACGAGAAAATCATATGTTTGCCTTTCTATCGACAAACAAAAGGAAATGCCATCAGGCTTATTTCGATCAACATTCTCAAATATGTGCACAAAGAGCCTATTGAATCAATCCTTTATCATTTCATTATCTATCGAACTTATACAATAATAATCATCACCTCGATTTCTTTGCACGCATATGCTGTTGTTCGCCGCACTGAAAAAAAAGGTGACACGCGGCCATATGATGATCCAATGGAACCGAAATAAAATAAAAAAGTATTTTTCTCTATCGGTCACATCACTCTGCAAGTAGCAACAATTTGCACTGTGAATTTTTTCAAATGTGATCAATCGCACTGCTGTTTCTGATTTTTTTTTCAAGTCATGTAAGAAAGAACGAAAGAAGAAAACTGTTTGAAGAGAGTGAAGGTAAACATTTTAAGATATGCTGTTTCTGTTCACTCTTTCATTGTCAACTGTCCTGAAAACATTCGATTACTATTTTTCGAACGCAAAACAATGAATGGTACTAAATCGACTCCATCGAACAGCGGTCCGTTGATCAGTGCAGACCTAATAGGTCATATCAGACCTCGAACAACAGAAAATACTCTTGCAACTCCAACGGACCCAGCCGTTCTTCAACGGATCAATATTCGACGAGCACAAAATACTGTTCTCATCTGGTTGGATAACCATATGGACGAGGATAGTTTAGAGTATGAAAACACTGTTAGCCGATTGCAGCTGGTGGTGAACGACGTTGAGACATTTAAAAGTGACAATCTTTGCATCGAGTTTCTTCAAGGTCTTGAAAACAGCAAAGCATGCATGATCATCGAAGGCACACTCAGTCAACACGTTGTATCTCAAGTACACGATTTGACTCAAGTCGATTCGATCTTCATCTTTTCAGACGACCAGAAACGACTTAAACATTGGGCTGAACAGTGGCCAAAAATAAAAGGTATCTGTGCCGATATCGTGCTGATCTCTAAAATGATCAAACAAATTGCTCAACAAGTTGAACACAATGCCATGTCGATGAGTTTCGTGTCAAGTGACAAACGCTTAGATCAATTGAATCCAACTTTCATGTACATTCAGATTATCAAGGAAATCATTCTCACTATTGAATTCGATTCGACTTATCGACGGAATTATATTGAGTTTTGCCGAGAGATTTTCGATGGGAATAAAGCTGAATCTTCATGCGTCGACGAATTTGAACACACGTACAAAAAGGAGAAAGCCATATGGTGGTACACGTACCAATGTTTTCTATATCCGATGTTGAACAAGGCTTTGCAAGCGATGGATGGCGATATGATTATCAAGATGGGATTTTTCATCAAAGATCTTCATCAGCAAATCGAGCAGCTTTATCTAGACCAGTTCGTTTATCAAACGTCGCCGAAAACATTTACTGTCTTTCGTGGTCAAGGCATCTCGCAGGTCGACTTCGAACAGATGCTACAAAGCAAAGGCGGCTTGATTTCATTTAATAATTTCCTATCTACTAGTTACAATCGAGAAACGGCGATTAACTTCGCACCTTCAACCGGAACTAGATCAGGAAATGTAGGAATTTTGTTCATTATGGAAATCAATCCGGTACGATCCAACACGCCATTTGCATCGATCGCCAGTGTTAGTGCTCATGCTAAAGAAGACGAAGTTTTATTTTCGATGAACGCAGTCTTTCGTATCAAAGACATACAAGAAATGTCGGACGACAGTCATTTATATGAAGTTCATCTGAGTCTCACGAGTGACAACGATCCAGAATTGTTCGAATTGGCATGTTACATTCGCCGAGAAAGTCTTCCCGGCAACGAACCATGGTATCGGCTGGGAGCGTTGCTTCTACGAAGGGGCCAAGCTGAAAAGGCGGAAGAAATCTATGAGGACCTGTTGAAGCAAAAGTCCGACGATAATGAAAAAGCATCCATTTACGATCGACTCAGCTTGGCCAAATATGGGCAAGGAAAATATCAAGATACAATCGAAATCTGTAAGAAGCTGATCTCGATTTATCAGAAGACTTCCTCGTCGGAATCTGTCAGTCTGGCTAATCTGTATAACCGAATGGGCAGTGCGTATCTTCGTATAGGAAACTATTCCAATGCTCTCAAAGTTCATCAGGATGCTTTACGAATTCTCAAACAGGCAATTGGCTCATCTCATCCGGAAATCGCGAAATCGTACAATAATATTGGTATGGCACTCTATAATATGAGTGAGTACGCCAAAGCTCTTCAATCGCATCAGAAAGCCGTAGAGATCAATGAAGAATTACTTCCATCGAATCATCCAGATTTAGCTTCCACATACAATAACATCGGTAGTGTATACCAGAGTATCGGCGAATTCGAAAAAGCACTCTCCTACTATGAAAAAGACCTTAGCATTAGCCAACAGTCCCTGCCACCTAACCATCCTGATTTGGCCTCGACGTACAATAATATTGGAAGCGCTCATCAAAGTATGGGGGATTATGCCAAAGCACTTTCGTACTACGAAAAAGATCTTGCTATTTGCCAGCAGTCCTTATCGTCTAACCATCCCGACCTAGCCAAGTCGCTCAATAACATCGGCAGTGTCTATCGTCATATGGGCGAGTACACAATAGCACTTACGTATCACGAAAAGGCTTTGAAAATTTACGAACAAGCACTCAATGCTGATCATCCTGATTTTGCATCGTGTTACAACTATATTGGTAATGTATTTCGCAGTATCGGCGATCTCCAAAAAGCATTGTCATATTATCAGAAAGCTTTGCTCATTATCGAGCAATCACTTCTGCCTAATCATCCTGATTTAGCTTCTACTCATAACAATATTGGCAACGTCTATTGTAGTATGGGTAAGCACGATAAAGCGCTGCTGTCTCATGAGAAAGCCTTGGCCATTCGTCAACAATCGTTTCCGCCGAATCATCCCGACATAGCCTGTTCTTACACTAACATTGCTGCAGTATACGAAACCATGCGTGACTATACCAAAGCACGTTTATTCTACGAACGTGCTCTGCGGGTTGCGGAACATTCGCCGTGTATCAAACAAGAGAATCTTCAAGTATACAAAGATAATTTGGCTCGTGCGAAAAGAAAAGCTTGATTAGTTTCGATGAATTTCATTTCCAGAGCATGCGTGCGTTTTACAGTCTTGTAAAAAGCTTTGTTAACAATTCTTATGAATAAAAAGAAACGGTGATAAGGTGCAAATATAGTTTCTCACAACCTAATCTAGAAAGATAAATTCATGTGTCATATATGCTTAATCATTTTATTTTGTTTTTTTCTTTGTTGCTGTAAGGATGGCAACCGAAAAGATATTTAAGACACATTCTCTTCCAGATGTTCTTTTCTACACAAGTCAGTATGCTTCGTGAAGTGTTATTCGTTTTATTCATTGCAACAGCGTCATCTGTAACACCGTCGCCACCACGATGGCCTCCGGTCTGGATGTCAACTGGGAGTGCGCATTATTTATTCAATAATCAAACTGTATCCACACAAATATTTTATGACTGGACTCGACCGGCACAAGTGATGAATTTAATGAGAGAAGATTCTTATACATATACAATCATGCACAATGGAACAACAGTTTGGCGATTAGAACGTGCCAATCGGTCATGTTGCATCGATCCACAACAAACAGGTGTCA